ATTCCTGCTAGCCCAGCTTTAGCTTTGACCCTTTAATGAGAATTGATCATTTTTATTCTCATTGTCAACTTTAAAATGTTGTATTATTTTACGTGTAGATTGTTATGGTTTGTAACTTCTGCCATCCTAGCAACATGGTGTACCTCACTGATCATTCATCCTAACCTCCTCCTTTCCAGCTATTTCCCCCACCTTGCCCCTGTTCATACTTATCTTGAATTGTGTTATCTCCTTTCCCTAGTGCACTAAAACTCTGTTGTCTCTTTTCACAGGGTTCTCTAATTGCCAACATGATTCTAGGAATTATCATTTTGAAGAAAAGGTAAACAATACTCTTTATATTTTGTGTATAGGAAGGATAAGCTGAGCCCCAGCCATAAGCTCATCTGGATTCCTTTTCTCATAGTCATGATAAGTTTGTGCTTGGCCATCTGTCTTGTTTCTTAGTTCTGTCTGTGACAGTGGTGCTCATTCCTGAGGCAGTGGACCAGGTAAGAGGCCCCACCTGTGGCTTTGGAGCAGCATATTTTCTGTGTAGAATTAATAAACTCTTGTCATTGTTGAATCTTTAGTACCATACTAATCTACGAAGCCAATCGATCTAGAACTTCACTGTCCCACGTGGTTACCACTGGCTCCATGTGACTATTTACATTTAATTTTAAATATTAAAAAGTAAATAAAATTAAATACATAGTTTCTCCATCTCACTAGTCACATTTTAAGTGCTCAGTAGCCACATGTGGCTAGTGGTGACCGTCTTGGAGAGCCCAGATGTGGAACATTGCCAGCTTCCCTGAAGTTCTCTGGTACAGTGCTAGGAAGTGTACAACATAATGAGCTAAGAAATAATCATACATATTATAAAGAAAATTCCTAACAAAGGCCCAAGTGGCCAAACAAGATGCGATGAAAAGTTTCAGGACCGTTCTTTGTAACTGTCACCAGTGGCTCTCTCTGGGTACGGCTGGGGAATATCAGAAGTATCTGGGATGCTGTTTCCAAGCATTTGTCTCTCACCTTCGTTCGGAGCCTCACTCCCAGGGAGAAGAGGTGTGGGGCAGAGACAGCCCATGCAGTCTGGAACACTTCTCAGGGGGAAGTTCATCCTCACTGTTGAGACCAAAATCGTGCAAGTTGGTGCCTGCTTTTCAATATATTCAGTACCCAGCCCGAAGTACTAAAACTCTCCTTACCAGCTTGGAAAGTAGCTGTCAATTCAGTGTGGGAAGCTAGAGTTTTTAAGTTATAAGGGCTGTGTCATGAAAAGCTCCTTATCATGAGCTCTTTGTCTCCTGAGCCTTATGTATTCCCCAGATAAGCACCATTGTAGTTGATTTCTACATTCTCTCTTTTGAAGCACAGGGAGGTAATGGTCAGGTTCGTTATCTTTGAAGTGACCCCTGTGCTTCTTGGTAATGTAAAGTTCACATTGGGACAGACCCGTGTTCTTTCCAACCTTTGATTTTGGCGCATAGCAGGGATACAAAAGAACTTATTATAAAAGGAATGTATTCTCCTGACATACCCCAAATGTCGGGGGGCCTTAAACACTGCAGTTTTCCTTAAGAGCTTGTTTTTAGTCTGTCATCTGGAATCTCTCTAAGTCTTTTTTGACTCTCTCCAGTCTGTATCCCCCAGAGAACAGGAATTTCCCTAAGCTAACTGTCTAATATCATGGATTAGTAATTCTCTCCTTTTGTTTATCTTGAGTAGCACCCGTCAAGTTTATAGTGTGTTCCCTTTTCCAGGATTTGAAGACCAAATCTATATTCACTTTAACCATGCCTTCATTATGGTTTAGGCCTGAATTTTAGACCTCCCTATCTGATCTTTGCAGACTGAAGAGTTCCCTTACGTTTCTGTCTGCCCGCAGCAGCGCCTGCGTCCTCGCCCGCTCTCTCCTCCAGCGTGGTGCGCTTGGCCCCTTGCTCTGCCCCGCAGCCAGTTCCGCTGGCCATTTTCTGAGGCGCTGTGACCAGAACTATACAAAGTATTTGAGTAGGAAACTTCAGATGTAAGGTTTTAACTTCTTTTCGTTCCTGTCTGAGGCCTTTTGCTTTTATCACCAAGAGCCTGAGAGGGATGTTAATTGATCCTATTTTAGTTAATGTGAAATGCCACTGTTATTACTGCTAATAGTCCTATTAGTTTCATATTACTTGCTTTATCCAACTATGCCAACATTTAAAAACAATATTTAAGAGACCTAAAGACAGTACCCTCCCCTGAAAAGGGCCAGTTGAATTCTTTTCTGCACGTGGGGTCCTGCTGCTTGTCCCTGATATTCCTTCCGTCCTTCCTCTCATGCTGTGTCTCTTCACATTCAGGTCTGGGCCCCAGAAGCCAGGAAAAGCAACAGGCATCCCTTAAGATCTAGCAGGCTTTCATCTGGACTCGAGAGCAGGATGGGCTGTCATGTCTGGTCTGTCTTTGTTTTCTGATGAAACAATCTATTGGTGCACAAACTACGGGAAACAAACTGTCTTAAACACCACCAGAAAGGGCGCTGTTTAGAAACTAGTCAGCATCCTGATTCTTTCACGCACAGACTTACGTGGACTCTGCTGGGAAGTGATCCCCTTGATTGTGTTTTGGTGACTTGTACTCTTATGAACCATCTGACTGTCAACGTCCTGTGGAAATTTGTATCTGTGCTTTCCTGAGGTGCTCTTTTTCTTATTTTTGCAGATACAGTGTATTCAAATATACCTCCATTGCCCTGGTGTCTGTGGGGATATTTATTTGCACTTTCATGTCAGCAAAGCAGGTGGTAAGAATCTGTTCACAAATGATTTCTATTCACTACTTGCCTTGGGGGCCCAGGTACTTATTAATGATATAATAAATGTAAATGCTCATGTAATACAAGGATTTAAATCTCTGAAAGAGAAGAGTAGAGGGAAATGGGTAACATAAATATTTCCCTTGTATTGAGGCCCCTTGAATGTAGTTCTGGTCTCTGTACCTTGTATTTTTTCTTATTTCCTAGACTTCCCTGTCCAGTTCGAGTGAGAATGATGGATTCCAGGCATTTGCATGGTGGTTTCTAGGCAAGTACAGTAATTACAATAAAGCTAATTGCCTCTGCAGTTCTGTTTAGAGAGGTTTCTCCTAAGGGATATGTTTCTTGGCAAGAAGCTTCGGCTAAACAAATTATGCCATAGAAGAGAGAGGCATCTGGGATTATATATCTCTGAACCTTAGTGTTCAAGAAACAAACAAACAAAAGTCTGTATTCATGGTACCGTGTTCTACAGCATGGATGCTTTCTTGGTTGCCACTGGTGTAGAAAGAAAAGTCTGTGTCTAGTTGCCCATCCCACTCTCTGGGAGCAATAGAGTATCATCCATTTCTTTATGATCTGTCTGCTGAGCAGAAGCTTCTACAAAAGGAGGGCACATTACAGCAGTTGACTCTTTAAATTTCCAAGGGACCCATTTCTAAATCTTAGATTTATTTTCCTCATAAGCTGTTCCACATGGCAACGTTCCCAAACCTGACGGATCATCACAATCTCCTGGGGAGTTTTTAAAAATACAAATATCTCTTTGTTGAATAAATTAAACAACTCCTATAGAGCTTTGCCCTTGCTGTGTATGATAGAGAGGGGAAAGTTAGTGATGGCAATAAGATATTGAGACTGACCAAATGGAAGAAAAGTAGCAATGAAAGAACTGTCTTCTCCTGGCCTCTTGACTTTGAAACTTTATCTCTTTAGATTGTTGTTCTTAACATAGAAAGCTCTTTATCAGCTATTAGAAAGATACTTTATCCAATAAGAACTTGCAAAGGACATGAACACACAATTCATGGGGACAGAATTAATGTTCAGTAAACTTATGTTCAGCCTTGCTAGTCTAGTAATCAAAGAAATGCAAGTTGAACCCAAAATGCAGTACCTTTTAATTTTGGTCTCTTATATTGGCAAGATAATAAATGATTATTCTCATTGCTGCTGAGGATGCAGTAAGGCAACCATTTCCATATAAACTGTTTATGGTAAATTGACACAGCCTTCCTGGGAAAAAAGGTATGTGTATGTATTGAGTTTTTAAAATGTCTACAACCTTTGACTCAGTAATCCCCCTTATAAGAGTTTATCCTATGGAAATAATCAATATTTTGTCTAAAGATTTATGTACTAGGATGTACATTGATTTTAATGATGAAATAATTGGAAGTAATCTAAGCATTCTCCTATTATAAGACATTTAAGTATGGTACATCCACGTGATAGAATAATATGCAGCCATACTTTTGAAAAAATTTTAATGAGTGACTTGAAGGAAAATCCAGGAAAAAGGTCGTGAAGAAAGCAAGATATAAAATTATATATTCATTGTGATCCTGTCTCAGCATAAAATATCTACCTAAGTATATATACAGAGAGAGATAGCAAACTGTTTAGGACTGGATGGTAATATTGTGGTTGATTTTTATTTCTTTTTAAATTTTGTACATGTTGCACATTTCGTGTGTAATGTTTGTAGAACTTAATGTTCTTTAAGAAAAGATCTGGAATTTAGCAAATGCAGGCATCTTGTAACTCGATGTTTGCTTTTTAGGTATTGGGGCACTGACTTTCGCTCTTCTGATGTCAGCAAGGATGGGTATTTTCCAAGAGACTCTGTACAAACAATTTGGGAAACACTCCAAGGAGGCTTTGTTTTATAATGTAAGCAATTTCTTGAACCCAGGGAAGATGAAAATTATTGAGTTGTTATTGTAATATGTTATTTCAAACGTGATATGTCATCCTTCTGATGTAGTTGAAGGATCAATTTATTATCCAATAAACAGTTTTGGGGCCCACGGACTTTGGCACTTTTAACAGGCTGCCACAGTTCTCTACACGAGGTGATCATTATCAGTCAGTGTGAACAGAACATGTCTGCCAACCAGGAACAACCCCAAGGGACAAGGAACCCAATGTTCCTATAGATGAAATCAAGTTGAAACCACTATGGAAACCTAGAAAGGGAATAGAAGTTTCAGAAACCCCATGCCAAGGAGAATATGTGTGGGCAGGCATTTGGGAGAGTTGGGGAGGATGGGATTTGAGGAGTAAGTCCCTCAGATGGGCTTTATTCCTGTGATGGAGAGTTTAATTAGTTAATTATATACGCTTTCGCTTCTTGTTTGAAACTGCTGATCTAGAGCCACCTCCTCTAACTTTCCTCTTTCTCCTCCGTCTTTTCTGTTGAAATAATGCCTGGCTCCTCAAGGTCATGGTGATATCATTGCCTCCAGATTCAGTAATCTCAGGGATTCCTTCCCTGCCAACCATTTGTACTGAAGTTGCAGACAAGCAATTTGAGACATTTACTTAGAACTAGAGTATGCGGCTGAGAATTTAAAAAATAAAGGAACATTCTGTTTGGTTTCCGTGTTTCTTTTAGCATGGTACCTGGTGTATAGTTGACTGCTTGGTAAATGTTTACTGTGATTCCTTGTTATCTCGGAGGTGGTAGTGGTGGGTTGTTGTCAAGCACCTTATCTTTGCTTACCTATTGTTTCCCCTTCCTCTTCAATCTCTTTTTATTCTTGTCTTCATTTCTTTATCCCTGACTTCATATTGTCCTCCACTCTCTTTTCCCACTAGTTTCCTGAACTCCCTAAAATCTGCCTGCACATTCCATATAATTTTTAAATCCGTTATATTTGTTGAACCGTTCTCAAAAATAGTAAAATGTAGCAGATCCTTTGGGCAGAATGACTGTGTTTCAATTTTCCATTCCCTTTTGTTGAGGAAAGGATGCTGGCTCTATTTTTTTGTTTTGTGTGTAATGACCACCAGACTTCAAAGGGCAAGAACTGTAATTTGGGGGTTGATATCATGCCCTACAATGTAAGTGGTCAGTAGCACTGGATACTTTTAACTTAATAAATAAGTCTGACTTGCTTTTCTTGATATTGCTTGTTAAGCAACTTGTAAAACTTTCAGTCAGTGTAAAGATACTCTAATTCTTCTATAATGTTTTTGCACTTAAATTTACATGAAATGTTTCTTCCCCTAGCATGCCCTTCCACTTCCTGGTTTCATCTTCTTGGCTTCTGACATTTATGACCATGTGGTTCTATTCAATAATTCTGGTGAGTTTGGGGTTATCTAGTAGAATTACCTAACAGTTTCAGAGGCAGCGTCTTCATTTTACTTTTGACTTGACCACTGCTTTTTTCATGATCTTATCCAAATCATCTGTCACCCCGGAAGCAGTCCCTATTCCACCTTCCTGGAATATAGTGCCATTAATCAGTGGTTGCAGCAGCAAAAGCCTTTATAGGCACTTCTCAATTATTTGCAAATGAAGTAAGACAGTATCTTCAAATTTTCTGTTTTGCTGTGGAATTTGTGTTTGCATTTGAAGGTGGAATGTATGATGTTCTGAGAATGCAAACAAATAGTAATAATACTGCAGTGACTGGAGCCGTGAGAAGTTGGGCAGCAGTCCAGCTTCTTTACTCCTGTTCTCTGCTGGGAAAGGCAGTCTGCTTACAGATCCAGGCCAGGCTGCCTCTGAGCAAGGAGGAACAAAAATGATGACAGGGCTTTTTCCTAGTTACAGGGCAGTTAGGCAGCAGGAGTAAACAAAATTAGTTCAAATGTCTACAGTATAAGTTAGCTATTACTTTTTTTTTTGTGGTACACGGGCCTCTCACTGTTGCGGCCTCTCCCGTTGCGGAGCACAGGCTCTGGACGCGCAGGCTCAGCGGCCACGGCTCACGGGCCCAGCCGCTCCGCGGCATGTGGGATCTTCCTGGACCAGGGCACGAACCCGTGTCCCCTGCATCGGCAGGTGGACTCTCAACCGCCGCGCCACCAGGGAAGCCCCTGACTTTTTTTTATTGAGGTATAATTGACATATAGCTGATTTTTGACGCAGTGGTTTTTAAGGTCTCTAAGAGTCCCCACATAGCAAAGGGCTATGGAAATAAACACATTATCAAATTCCTTAGGATTGATATTGATTTAGTTACTAGAATGCTCCTTCTAAAAGTCACAGGGATGTGTATTTTTATTAAAAATTTTTTAATGTCTGCTTTCAAAAAGTTGAATCTTTAGAATCATTCCTAAGTGAAGTATACATTTTTTTCTCTTGCTTAAGTGTCTCAGATGAACGTGTTATCCTTGAATATTCTAAGGGAACTGTACATCTGTCTAAATACTTTATGTCATACTGATTGTCCTTCCTCAGCAAATTGATACAGTGAATCTCTGAAGTTATTAAACAGTAATAACATTTGTTAACTTTCTTTTCATTTCAGTACTTGCTAAGTGTTTCAAAGACAATAGAATACCAAATTATGGGGATTTCCCACTAGTCCAGACATACAATTTTAATAAATTATTTATATATATGAACTTTTATTTTTTGCAAAAGAAAATTAATGTTCATTTACTAACCAGATCTCAACATCACTTTGTTACACTTTCCTCAGTTATGCTGTATAATTCAAGCCCCACAAACAATTTAGCAATATAAAAAAAACTGACCCTTCGAGGATTACTATGTCCTTATTCTCTGATCTTGGATATTTTATTTCCTCCCACATATTTAGTGTGCAAGTCTCATGATATAAAACTAACATAAGAATGTATTTAAAGGAAGGAAAGTAACAGTTCATCACCCTACACGTGAGCTAATTTAATTTTACCAGTTTCCTTCCTGACTCTATTCACATACATTCTTAGTTGTAATCCTTGTGTAGATATAATTTTATACTTGCTTTTTCACTTTCATTCTGAGTTTTTTATATGACTATATATAATCTTTACGATTTTTTTTTTGTCAAGTATATAAAGCCTCATCTAGTTTGCTTACCTTAGCTTACATAGTCCTTGCTCTATCATTGGACATTTAGATTGATTCAGAGTTTTTTCCTTATTATAAATATGACTGCAAAATATATAAAACTTTTTTCTGTTGAATTAACTAGGATTAATTCCTAAGAATAAGAAGCAATACTTTTATGGCTCCTTAATACATATTGTGAAATTGATTTTTAAAACACCACCAGGGCTTCCATAGTGGCGCAGTGGTTAAGAGTCCACCTGCCAATGCAGCGGACACGGGTTCGAGCCCTGGTCCAGGAAGATCTCACATGCTGTGGGACAACTAAGCCCGTGCGCCACAACTACTGAGCCTGCGCTCTAGAGCCTGCAAGCCATGACTACTGAAGCCTGTGCGCCTAGAGCCCATGCTCCGCAACAAGAGAAGCCACCGCAATGAGAAGCCCGCACACCGCAACGAAGAGTAGCCCCCGCTCGCCGCAACTAGAGAGAAAAGCCCGCGCACAGCAACGAAGACCCAACACAGCCAAAAATAAATAAATAAAATAAATAAATTTATAACAAAACAAAACAAAAAAAACACCAATTTATACTATCACCCACTGAATGGCTGCTACTTCCACTACCACCTTGCCAGATTAGGATATTATTTATAAATGTTCAATTGCTAACTTAATAGATATAGAATGGTACAGCCTTGTATAATTTAGAATTCTTTGATTAAGGATTGAACATATTTCCAAATGGCATTTAGTTATGGGTTATCTTACATCTTGTGTTAACTGTCAGTTAAGACCATATCATTTTGAACCTCTCTGTGTTTCACACTCTTTCTCTGTAAAGTGGGGTCCTATTCAGGTGAACGGTAAAGAGTTTTTTTAAAAAGTAAAACAAATTATAATTTAAGAAACCAATGTAATGACTCTTGAGGCTGGTGTAGCCTCAAATCAAGGCAAGTAAGTGGTGTATGATCCAAATGTATTTGCAAGAGAAATAACGCTTCTATTTCTATTATGTTCATCTGTGTTACTTTGTTCAAAAAGATGAAAACATAAGCTGTCGGAAGTGATACAACTCTCTCTTCTCTTAATCTTTGCAGAATTATATCAGGTTCCAGTTGTTGGTGTGATAGTGCCCATCATGTGGTTCTACCTCCTCATGAATGTCATCACCCAGTATCCTTTGCACCCCTCTGCCATATGGCCTTTGCTGTGGTATTTTGGCATAGGAATGTTTATTCTTCTAATGGTGCAGTGCCATGAGTTTCGCTTTTGCCTTGATCTCTTCTGTGGTAAGCAGGAGACAGACAGGCCCATCCAGTGAGCTCCTTTGTTGCGGGAAGAAGGGGGGAAGAGATGTTGGTGGTGTGGAGGGTCAGTAAGTCCCAGGGCACCAGGAAGGAAAAGCTCTGGGTGGAGGTGTAGAAATCAATGGGTAATTAAGGATCAGTATATGACAGAAATGTGCTGTGATTTCTACATGGAGTTTTCCAGTGTCCTAGGATGTTTCATAAGCTGCCACAAAATCCTGCAAGAAATTTCAAATTAAGTAAAACCTGAATTTTAAAATGGCTCTTTGGAACCACCGGTAAGTCCATTATAAAAATCATTGAGTCTTTGAAACAATGAAACAGATTGAGATTGACCTCATTCCTCTGAAGTCACCTCATTCATTTGCCCTACAGAGTTCTTTTTGGGAGGAGGTGTGATCACCTTACTGAGAGTGTTACCTTCTGTCGTTACTGGGGAGGCGACTTCTCTGTAAACTCTGGCAAGAATCGAGGATAAGAATAATAGGAGGCTTTCAGGCAGTTTCAAGTTAGGATCCACAAATGCAATGGCAGGCCAGGAATTCTGCAGGATGTTCTAGCAAGGAAGAGCCTCAGGGCAGCTGTAGCCAACCCCCATGTTTTTTGGGTCCTAGAACAGAAGGTTCACCCACTGATCTCTGGGTTGTCTACAGAAAACCACCTTAACCCTGCCCCTCCAGGTACGTGTGCATCCAGGGCGTCTTCATCCTGACCACAGAATGCACCTCCCTCACCGTCACCCTCGTCGTGACTCTACGCAAGTTTGTGAGCCTCGTCTTTTCCATCTTGTACTTCCAGAACCCTTTCACTTGGTGGCATTGGCTGGGCACCTTGTTTGTCTTCATTGGGACCCTAATGTACACAGAGGTGTGGAACACCCTGGGAACCACCAAAGGCCAGCCTCAGAAGGAGGCCAAGAAGAGCTGAGGCCCTCCTGGAGTAGAGAGACCCGAGGCTAGTGAACCAGGGGCTGGCCACCATTTCACCTTGGTTAATGCTGAATCACCCCCCATGTGCCAGAGAATCCTCAGAGGGACGGACTTCTCAGATTTCTCATGCCTATACAGACCAACATTTGTGGACCCTGAATAGAAGCCCCCAACCCTGAAATAGGAAAAAAGAACAGTTCTCCACTATTGGACAGCCTTTACATTTGTTGTTTCTACCAGAATTTCAGCACTGTACTTGCTTATTGAAATCTGAGTCCCCAGGGCTAGTAGTTTTACATCTACGGTCTTGGACAAGATTATCCCTGTCCTGATGATTCTCTGCTATAACAGTCTCTATCCTCCTGTGACCTTTCCCCTTGTTCCATCACCCTGCCACCCACAGCAGCACCTTTCAGGCAGATGCTCCAGGCACCCCCCCAACCAGGAACAACCGAGTGGCCGGGTGAACCGACGCACCGGGATGCTGGGGCTGGGCTTTCTCCTGTGTGTTGGGAAAGAAGCAGGTGTCCCTGTGCACCCTGGTGACCCTGGGGCAGGACTGGTGGGAATCCTTTCCCACATTTTTCCTTTTTTTGTTTCTATGCAAAAGTCATATGCTTTCACACCTTTTGCTTTCTGTACTTAGAACAAACCTGCAGCATCTCTGTATGGCACAGTGTTAATAAGAAAGAAAGGTTGTGTATGAATTGGGAAAGAGACGTTTTCTGTCTTCTCTCAGTTTTCTGGTTCATTAGCCTCGAGCTAAGTTGGTGACGCCAGGATGGCCCAGAAGCTGGCTCTGGGGGCAGGGGCACCCAGAGAGCACAGACAGGCACTGAGGGTGGGCTCCACGTGGGGGAGGTTAAGCCTTTGAAATGCTTCTCAACCAGAGAGGGTCAGTTCCGCCTGGCAACTCTGATAGTTATGACCAGCCAGGCTAATGAGTGAACCAATATATTCAGTGGGTGTGGGTGTGGTGTATCAGTCAGGCCAAATCACAACTAAAATGGAAATTTTTTTTTTTGGGGGGGGTTGTCATCTTAATTGTTCTTGATGGGTATGGGAGTGTGTGTGTTTTATCATATGTATTGATAGAAACATGCCCCCCTTTTGCTAATCATTTCAAAGGTCTGGTTTTCCTCCCATGGGATAACTTTGAGAAAGAAGTGTCAGGATGCCACATGTAGGTGTGTGTGTGCTCTCGTGGGGGTTGTGATCACTCGGGAGAAGAGGAGAGCATGAAAGTCAGTGTTTTTACTCCCTTGTCCTTCACTCAGTTCGGACCTTCATTGTCTCACGCAGGTACGTGCTCTGGAGGCCGTCAGACTTAACCAGCCCATCTTTTTGCACACAGAGGCCTCTCCTTCTGCGCTGGGTTCAGGTTGTGTTCTTATATCGAGGTTTGGCTCTCAGGGTCTCTCGAGCTCACCCAGGGTGTGGTGTGTTTATTCTACTATCTGGAGCTATTCTCTGACGGATCTGCGATAAGTGTCCTAGAACCACCGGGTTGCTTTGGGGAAGTCCCTTAGGCTGCTCGGGTTTTTTGTTACATAAAATGTGGATGCTGTTTCTCCACCTAAGTCACAGCGTTTTCAGATCAATTTGTCGTTCTGGACATTGACAGCTGTTCAGTGCCAGTGAAGGTCTGTTCTAAAAGATGCGGAATTAGGTGTGAACTTGTTTGTGAACTCAAAAGGTACTGTAGAGTTCCTCAGACTGATGGTGCTATAAATACCATGTGTTAAATATCCTCTTAAAAACAAGAACAACAAAATCTACTTTTCTTACTGTTTAATAGAAGAACCTGTCCCCAGGGGCTATTTGATTGCTGCATATCTGGAGTCTTGACAGGATAACTCCTAACAGGACAGAGCCTTACATGGCGTAGTATCACTTTTTTTATGTTGATGGGAAAATTACAATTTTTAGTTACTGAAACAGTGTTGATGTACACAGACAGCATTCAACTGGGTCCACGAGGTTTTAGATTCTGGCTTTAGAGTGTGTGTGTTCCTCAGTCGGAACACCTCTGCTGGTCTTATTAACAGGAGGATATGTATGGACAGATTAAGTCACTCATACAGTGAAATAAGCACATGTAAGAACAGAATGTCTGAAATGCCCTGGGAATTGTTTTTTTCCTCTAGTATTTGGTTATAAGGAAATAAATCTAACAGACACTAGTTAATACTTTTTTAAACAATTTATTCCCCTTGGTTAACTTCTTTTTCAATCCAAGTTGAAACTGATTTCAATCCCTGTTAAAAGAGCAAATAAACCATTTTATAGAGGGTCAGACTCATCCCTAATTGGAGGAGAAATGTCTATTAAATGCCTTTCATCTTTCTCTGGGTCAAGACCATGTAATTTTGTGCCCCAGAGATAGAGGGTTTAGTTTGTTTACACGAGAGATTGGCGTTTAAGGCATCCAAAACTCTACCCTTAGAACAAAGATCAAATAGCAAATGACTAGCCAGAAAATTGTGTGTGTGTGTGTACACCCGTGTACTCACTTCACAGCTTGACCAGAGTCGTGAGGTACCAGGAGAATATGGGGGATACTTGAATTATTTTATTTTATGTGTACAGAACCTTTACCATAGTTCTATTGTCATATTATAAACGCTTTTTCATTTTTTATTAGGAATTTATTTTTGATCCTTTCTTTTGTTTTTCATCCAACTAAAACCGTTAATGCATTTGATAAGTTTCTATCTAGTTCTAAAGTATTTAGACACAATGCAAATAGTTTTTTCCTTCTTTGTGCCCAGTCATCCAAAATGAATACGGTACTTTAATTAGATCCGTGTCGAGTGAAGAAAAACCACGAAAGCTGAGCTGATCTGTGCCACCCCTACCAAACCCCTTCCATTCTTCTGGGAAGGTCACCTGATCTTTTTTTTTTTTTTTTTTTTTTTGCGGTACACGGGCCTCTCACTGTTGTGGCCCCTCCCGTTGCGGAGCACAGGCTCCTGACGCGCAGGCTCAGCGGCCATGGCTCACGGGCCCAGCCGCTCCGCGGCACGCGGGATCCTCCCGGACCGGGGCACGAACCCACGTCCCCTGCATCGGCAGGCGGACTCTCAACCACTGTGCCACCAGGGAAGCCCACCTGATCATTTTTAAGGATTCTAATATCTCGGGGTCATTTCCTGAGCACGTTTCCTCCCTTCTGCATGTTTTTTTCACTTCTGATCCCCCACTTCCAGTTTCTTCAGCAACCTCTGGTCACTCACGTAGTTTTCTACTCTGTTTATGCCTCTATTCTTTGGGGCCTCTGGGTGTTTCTCTGTGGATTTTTACAGGGTATACATATCTGTGTAGCATGTATCTTGTTATGCATTGATACTAGGGTGTGTCCATAAGGATGCGACTATCTGGCAGAGTATGTGAATGTATGTGTAGATGAATATGAATGGGATGTAATGTAATAATGTAATGTGAAAATATTTATATGTTCTGTTGTAGCTCAAAGTGGGGCTGAGAGTCCTTACCACGTTCCTGTCTATATTTGGAAAGCAGTAGTATCTATATTTTGCTCATTTTTACCCTGCCTCTAGCTGACTTCACTCTCAGTGCCAAATGCCTGTGGTGAAGGCAGGTGGAAAGCATTAGGTCAGGAGTAATTGTAAACCAGTGAGTTAGCTCTGGGCGGGTGGACATGCTCATTGGTGGACAGCTGGCATATGAGACAATGTAGCAAAGACCTGAGCATCTCCACAGATGCACATTGAGAGGCACCCCAACGTAGAGATCTGAAATCAAGATCCTACAATTTGTTGTAGTTTGTTTCTCTTTGGCTAGGAGTAAATAGAATTATGAGCATTTTGGTCTCAATAGCTTTATTCTGAAAAATGTGCATGGAATTTACCTGTGGCAGTTCAGTCTTGGGTTGAAAGAACTGTCAATGTAGATAAAATCCATTTTTATTACAGATACATGACCTTTGAAAATGAGTATAAACAGTGTCAGTAAAATAACTAGTCATAAGCATTGGAATATGTTCAGTGTGTACCAGGCTGGGGTGGGAGACTCTGTAGTGTGCTCTCTCTTTCTAGCAGCTTCCTCACAGTGGACCTTGCAGAGGAGGGAGGGAGGGACCAGGCTCTGACTTTTGTCCCATGAATAAACAAACCCTTACCAAGATCTCTTATTTCCTCAAGTTTCGGAGAAACCTTCTAATGGTTCCTGATACCCATTCCCACTCTTCATCAGTTGATTAGCAAGAGAACAAATAAGACGAAACATTCCTAAGATTCTAAGCCAGAGAGGGAAGGAAGGATACACACCAGGAGTTGTGGGTATTTGGCTTTTTGTCCTCCGGTTGCCTGGTGGGAGGAGGGCAGAGCATTACAAATTTAGCACCTTCCATCTATCTGACGCTCAGTGCCAGGAGCTGCCCTCAGGGGACCATTAAGGATGCTTAAAAGTTTTTGGAGTAGGCTGCCTGGGGTGACCCTTACATCTCCAAAGCTGGTATAGTTGGTTTGCATCAGGTGATGCCTAGAGCTCATTGTCTTTTTGTCTCCTCAGTATCATACTGAGACATTCCTCTGAACTTTACCTACTTAAATCACTAAGATCCTGCAAAATGTCCTCAATTTCAGTCAAGTAAGGCAAGCTGTGAGGGTACCAGAGATAGGTGAGGGAAAAGCTTCGTCTACATTTAGAAGAAATAAGACCCATATTTTTTAAGGGAAAAGTTGTAATAATTCTTTGGCACATTGGATTATTTATCGTTTTTAAGATGTAAAGAAGACTCCTGTGAACCGAGAGAAGCAGTAGTTATTCCCCAACGTGATAAAAATGTCTGTGTATCACTTGCAATCACAAATCATTTCTGTGTTAGTTGCTTTCATTCCAGAGAATGGCATCATCCTCCAAAGAAAAAGGGGATGATTTTTAAGTAGGATTTCTTAACAGATTATGTGTTGTGGGGCTGGGGAGGGATGATGGGGATTTGATTTATCCAGCCTCCGAGCTCTTCATTCACATTGTGATTTAAGAACAGAGATGGGGGAGGAGGGGACTAGACAGCAGCAGAGTATGTAGAACAGCTAAGACATTAGGGAGTATTCAGATTTCGAGCTGTGTAAATATCAGATGTCGGCTTCCAGCCTTACGAGTTATTTTGAGCTGAGAGTTAAGGAGGAAAGGGACATTTTGTGAATAAAATGTTTTGCCAAACAAATTGAATGAGTCTTTT